GAATTAGTTCTGGGATTTGGATGTTTTGTAAAATGACTCAGTGAATGTGTGTGTCACATCCCCAGCTTGGCGATGTTTTGCCTCTTTGAACAGAGAGAGCATTGTACTGAATAAACTTAGAGCATTTTATCTGTGATACTGAAACTATTTAAAGACCTCTTGTTTGGATTTTTAAAAAGCAAGTGAATAACGATTATCTACAGTTCATAGCAACCTCCATTCCTCCAGGTTTGGACTTATTTACACCGCAATTTGCATGTACCGTTTAGGATAACAAAGTATACACCAGAAGTTCCTTCGTCTCTAATTTACTTTTATCTCAACAATGAAAACTCATGTTTTCAGATTAACTGAAAATAATGGCCAATTTGAATTATAGAACAGTTTTAGAGAAATAAATTTCTTCTACTTTTAAGTTTATAGCTTTAAGGTAGTAAGGCTTTGGCAAAGAGGATTGAGGCTCTTCTTTCAATGAATTAAAACATACAATTTGTAATTTTATTTATTGATTTTTTCTGGTGCCTGGCTGATACAGGGATCAAACCCTGGACCTTGGTGTTATCAGCACCATGCTCTAACCAACTGAGCTTACCAACCAGTCCCCCAATTTGTAATTAAATGATTGATTTTTCAGTATATCTAAATGGTTAACTATAGACCAGATACTGGTATACAAGTTTTATATCCATTATCTTTCCTACTTAATCCTCACAATAGACATATGAGGCAGGCATTGACTCCATTTTGTAGATGAATACACTGAGACTTAAAGAAGTTAACATGTCCAAGGTTCTACAGATAGCAAACTTGCTGCAGGTGTGTCAGAGTTCTAAGTCTATGTCTTGACCATTACCCCATGCTGCCTCTGAGATATGGATTACCATTACAGTTTTGTTGGTTTTGTCATTTTCTGATCATATTTTCCTTTTTTTTGGCAGCATTTACTAAGCACTTATTATACCCCAGGCAATATACTAGGTTCTGTAAGTACATTATCAGTTCTAGTTCTTTAAATCCCCCTAGCAAGCCTGTCGATAGGTTTTATTGTGTCTTACTTAAAGGAAGGGAAACTGAGTCTCAGAGAGAGTAAGTAATTTCCCTAATGTCACAGCTAATAAGTGTCAGAGCCCAACTTTTGAACATGGAGTGGAGAGCAGTTTCTGTGATTCATCCAGAGCTGGTCCAGTAAAGTATCATCCAGAGCTGGTCCAGTAAAGTATTTGCATGGTAAGAGGAATGAGCTTAGAAGACCACGAGTTAATGATGCTACCACCTGGAAGGCCTCCAGGAAGTGGAGTAGGTAGCATGTGTGGGCTGGAAGGGGAGCCAGAAAGTGCTGTGCACTTGGATGATTTCCCCGGGGCCTGGTGCTGGGCAGGGTTCTTGGCTGCCAGAGTCTTTCCTGAAGGTTCTTCATGGATAGCTGGTAGTCCAGGCTCTGACCTGTCACTGTGATGTTGGAGGTAAAAGCAGGCCTGAGGAGATCTCAGGGTGGGTGCCAGAGCTGCTCTGTGCAAACTCAACATCCCCCCAGCCAATTTGCTGGTCGAGGTAGAGCAAATGTGATACTTTCCAAATGTGCAGATGACATACATCATTTGGCCATCAGTTTGCTGATGGATATGGTAGATAGGAATCTCCAGGGCTTTGAACAGTGATGCTTTTTATTACAAGGAGATAAAGTGAGGGTTGAGGCTGGAGGTCAAGCAGTCGAGTAGCATGCAGATGGAGACTGTCATTCATCCATTCATTGAACGTTCTGAGCACTTACCATATTCCAGGTTACTCTTCTGGGCACTGGGATTTAACAATGAATACATCTCTGCCAGAGGAGCTAACTTTCCAGTGGGAGGAGACAAGACAGAACACATATGCACACACACATATGTCACATCCAGTGGGACTGCATGCTATGAAGGAAAGGAAAGCTGGATAAGAGGGACACAGAGATGGGTGGGGACGGAGGGCGTACTATCTTATGTATGTGGTCAAGGAAGGCCTCTCTGCAGAGGTGACAATGAAGGAATACTTGAAGGAAGAAAGGGCCATGAGGATATCTAGGGCCTCTCTGCAGAGGTGACAATGAAGGAATACTTGAAGGAAGAAAGGGCCATGAGGATATCTCCATGAGGAAGAGTATTTGGGGCAAAAGAAATAGCAGGTTTGAGGCTGGTGAGGCAGGAGCGTGCTTGGGAGATTCGAGGATCAGCAAGAACAGTGGCTAAAGCAGACTGAGGGAGGAAGAGAGTGCCGGGGGATAAGTCAGAGAGGGCCATGATGAGGACTCTGGATTTGACTCAGTGAAATGGGAAGCCCTTGATAAAATGTGAGCAGGAGGAGCCAGTGATACAGTGTACATTTTTAAAGGAGCACTCCAGATGCCATGAGGAGGGGCTGCAAGACTGGAAGCAGGGGGACATGCTTAGCAACTGCTGCAATAATCCGGGGGGAAATGAGGGCAGCGTAGATGGGCGGGGGTGGGATAGCAGTGGAGGTGCTAAGAGGTGGTCCTGGTTAAGTTTAGAAGGAATTGAAGATAGGGTTAGCTAATGGGTTGCATGAGGGAATGAAAGAAGGAGGCAGTGACAGCTCCAAGGCCTGAGTAACTGGAAGAATGAGTTGCCTTTACTGAGATAAGGAAGGGCATTTGGGAGAAATATCACGAGTTTGGTTTGGCTGGCATTCCAGAACCCAGTGGGTGAAGGCTGGGCCATAAGCTCTGCTTCCAAAACCTAAGCCATGGGGAACTGGTTTTGAGTCCCGTGTGAGGAGGAGGGTGGGAAGCAGGGGCATGTCCCAGCACTAAATGGAGTGTGAATGGGTTCTAAGGCCACAGCAAATAGATGAAACTGAGTGAGTAAGAGGACAGAAGGGACAGGAGTCTTCTCAAGGAGCCTGAGTTGGAGCCTTTGGTAGAAAAGAGAGGTGCAAAGGGACCAGGAATGTGGGAAGGAAAATCAGAGGGAGGGAGCAGTCAGAAAGGCCTCCAGGAAGAAGTGGGACCTGACTTGAGCTTCCGAGGAGAGAGCCAGGTTCAGAACACAGAGGTAGAGAGGGTGCAGGATGCGTGAGCGACAAATGAACGAAACCCAGAGCTGGGAAGAATCATGACTTGACTGCCAACCTGAGGGCAGGGAGGAGATGGTGCAGGGAGCTGGGCTGGAAACTTAGGATGGCTCTGCATTATGAAAGGCCTCGGAAGCTCAAAGCTGGACAGAACCATCTGATGAAAGCGTGCAGGAGTGATTAAGGAATGGGAAACAGAAATACAGCTGCAGTATGGTTTGCGTGTGTAACACTTTTGTTGTTGCATATTTTCTTAATGATCTGAAAGTAAAAGTAACTCCACCTTCACCTTAATTCCCCACCCCCCCACCCCACCTTGTTACTATTCTAACCATAAAACTTGCACACCAAGTCCTAAGCAAGAGGAAGACTTGCTATCAGTCTACCTGCTATATGACTAGGCCAATTTTCTGGACCGTTACTTTCCCAACAGGACTGGCTTACTTTCCCACCGTAGTACATCCTTTTAAAGTCTTTCCTATAATGACTGGATTACTCAAAAGTTTGGGTCTACTCTAATCCCAGGTGATACGTACTTTTAATAGGTAATCTTTCCCAGGCAGAGGAAGCGTTTATAATGAATAGAAATGTAATAGTATATATAATAATATAATAATGTATGATAATGATACTATATATTTTATATAATTACAAATATAATGTTATTTATTATAATATATTCATGATAATTTTTATAATTTAGATATAAATTATATGTTTATACATATGCACTGTTATAAACAATACTATCGGGTTAGCTATAAGACATTGAGATTGCATTTTTATTTTATGATGACCATAGTAGTACTAAATCTTTTTTCAGACTGTAGTAAACAAAAAACTTTGCCCCACTGAGCCTTATATAGGTTGAGAGAATATAGTTTAATGCGCTATTGAGATCTTCAGGCCTATTCCATATACTCAGCATGCTGTTTTTCAAAT